GTGCTACCCGCCGTATTGAAGAAGCGGCGTCGCGAAGTCGCGTCCAAATTTTAATTAATTAGCAAAAAATTGCTATTGCACAAAATACAGACAATAAATAAAAAATGTAACTTTGTTTATTGCCGATTGTCATCGTAATCTTTTGAAAAGTTAATACAGTCCACTTTTATTAAGAACAACCCGGTGTTTCGTAATTATTTTCTATTACATAACCTCTCGGGTAAAAATAAGCTATTGAAGCTTTTATGTGTTAACAGATGTCTTATAAATACTTCCTTGTAAATATCTACGATATTTATAAGGAAAAACATGAAAACTCCTTTCAAGGTTTCATATTGAAAAAAAAAATTATACCATTTGAGCTTTAGAGATTTTTTTTTATGAACAGTTTATTGTTCAAATTTTATTCATTAATATACAAGGTCAAATATTATATTATAATAAATCCAGTTATTATTATTATTTTTGAAAAAATAACATGAGAGAACTAGCAAGGGATTTTCACGATTTTCCCTATAACTATGGAAGATAAACAGAGAGATAAACATATCAAACCGTATATCGTTGAAATCATATTGGTATGGTGTTGGAACTGGTAAGGGGACTAACAAATAAGCGCACAATATACAGGGTGTTCCATTTAAAAAAATACTAGTAAAAAAATATAACTTCACACTGCTGCACTTTTTTGACGAACCCTGTATGCCTAAAACTAACTTAGTTGAAAAAAATTGATAATTTCTCAAAACTTTTGTGTTTGACAGTTGACACTTCTGGCAAAAACGTCAAATGATAAAGTTTGCAAGGTCGACATTTATAATAGATCACCCTGTACAAACTGAATTATCAGTATTTTTTCTTGCATTTTTTAGTATTTTTTAGCAATTTCTAGAATTATTCAGTATTTTTTAGAATTGAACTAGAATTTTTTAGAAATAATTTAGCATTTATATCTATTTCGCATGCTCAAGAGCCTGCCCAATTTGTTGGGATTTTTTAGAATTTTTTAGAATTTTTAGAATTTTTTGGGACAATAATTTTCACCTATTGCGCATGCTCAAGAGCCTGCGCATTGCGCAATCTATTGGGATTTTTGGAAATTTTTTTGAATTTTTAGAATTTTTCGAAAATTAGCATTTTTTAGAACTTTAGAATTTTTGGTGTACAAAATTAGGTAGATGGTTTCCCCCTCGCTGACACCTCAAATTTGTGTTTGATTTTCAGTCACAAGCTACAACTTATGTAGCCCCCTCCCCCCCCCCCCCCCAAACATATTTTCTGGGTGCGCTACTAATTAGATTTTCTAATATATTTTTCCTTTAGGGTACTTTTTGCAATGGATCTTGAGAATTTCAATTTTTCCCTATTGATAGAATTTAGCATAAGAAAAATGATTCCCAAAGCTTTGCCAAATATTTTTTGACTTTATTTTGAATAATTCATAATAATTGTCTCATTTAAAGATCAAATAATTTCATTTTTCAATATATTTTTCTTTGTAACCTTTACAATAGATAGAGGATTTCAAAAAATCTCCCATGATAAATACTTCGAGTCATCACAGTTACTTTAAATTTCTAGGATTTATAATTTAAATTTCTATAAAACTAGCAGTTAATACCATAGAATCCAATCACACATTAAAATTAATAACAGTTTATTTCAACCATCTTCAAATCTCAAATAATAAGTAGGTTTCGATTGAAGCAATTTAGAAAATTACCTACATTTAATTCTGATTGAATATTGTTTCAAAATGGCCTTCAGTCATCTTAATAATAATTTAGTAGATATTTAGATTCGAAAGGAAATTAAATTTTATAAATAACTATTATGACATCATTATTTTTAAACTACATAGTATTAGAGAAAGTTTAATATAATTTATAAAATATTGTACATTTCTCTTTATCTGAATGAAAAGTATATTAGGTTTGAAAAACCATTAAAATAATGACGTAAAGTGTAAATACAGCAGTAAAATAATCAATAGACACAATTATTTTTTTCTACCTTCCGCACATTTGCCTAATTAATATATTATTTCTCTGACCTCATAGTCATAGATGACAATTTCTACTAAAAATAATCATTAAGTAACCAATAATTCATTTATACTAGTAAGTTGAAAAATTCAAGTATAAGTAAATATTATAAATTAATATCAAACACTTGTGTTTTATAAAAAATTAAATTCTAAAAATAAGGCCAACTTTCAATGAATCTCTATTTTACGAGAATCGTCACGGATTACCTGTTGTCGTCGTTGAAAATCTAAATTTAACTTTAACTACATCACCGAGAAGTAAAATTATTTCGTACTTTCCACCCGCTGATTCTAAATTTATCCAGACCTGTTTTGTGATAGAGTTTGAAATCGTTCTATAAACATTTTAGTGGTCCTTTTACTATTGCTGGTCACTGTTGCCAGGTCAAAAAAAAATTAAATTCACCAGAAATTGGAATGAAAAATCACCAGATTTAAAAAAAAAAATCACCAGTTGATTTTTTCAGAAAATTTTCGCCTTACGGGCTTTATATCAAACCAAGAAAGCTTTGGAAACATGTATGCGAGAATCTGATGCCCCAAAAATAGAGACGTGACAGCGACGCAAAAAGGATTTGTTCAAAACCATAGTTGATCCCTTGGTTTTATTATTTGGGTTGTATGATTCACTGTTTATGACCCGACCCATTGTTACTTCGGTAACATTGAAAGGGCTCTTCAAAAAACAGTTAGGTTTTAGGCTAGGTAGTTTTAGCGATTTTCGACAGGGACTTGCATTTTGTATAGCTTGTTGGACGCATCGCCGCCCTGATATTTTTGTGAATTTGAAATAAACTATTTTTATTGCCGAAAGTCTAGCGTTTTCTTACATCAGAAGTGGGATAAATTCACTAAAAGTACCACAAGTTTACTAGTGCCGATAATTAAATTTCCAAGCGTGAGTTTTGTGATAATTAGAGCAATTAGTGAAAGTGCTAGATGCGACGCTTAAGAAAATAAAAGAAGTGGTTCCCAAATGGCAAATTCGGGTCCTGTGTTGGCGACTGAAATTCCTATAGTGACAACTTGATGAAGCAAGCAAGCGGAGTGCCGCCAGTTTTTCTGGAGAAGTCCAAGTGATGGTTTTCTATGTAAAAGCCTGTGGAAAAATCATGGAAAAGTTTTAGGTGCGAGTTTTCCAGCCTTGGTCTACTAGACGGAATTAAAGAGTAGGTAAAGCTTTTCGAGTCACTATACCATTAAACCGAAATCCTTCTGTGAGTATGCTTGAAAAAAAAAGTATGTTTTTCCATTTATTTATTTCGATCCGTTGTTTGACAGAATATTAGAAATTATTTTAAGAATTCGCTAATATTCACGTAAAAACTACAGCGTTCAGTAGTAATTAGGAACATTGGTTCACTCAGTGATTTATTTATCAATGATATTAGAGTTGAGAAATGTCTGATTCAAAAAAAGAACACAAAATTTCCTTGATTTTATGGGGAAATTTAGAAAAGAGTAATTTTCAAATTTTATTATTTCGAAAGATGCCAACTTATTTTAAATTAAAATTAACTTTTTGATAGAGACTTGAGCAAATTTTGAACTACTTTAGAAACGTCTGGAAAAAAAATAAGATGTCATTTAGACACAGTTTTATTAACGTTAGAATGCATGGGGAATGGTTTAGGCTGGAAATTAAAGATAAAAAGTTGCGTAATCCATTCCAGGATTTCCAGGTAAGCAATTTTTATTGAATAGATTGATTTGTTTACTGCAATGTTATAATAGAATGTTTGATCCTTTAGATCTCGAATTCGATGTTCGGGATTTTGACAAATTCTCCTATTTATCGTGCTAATAGTTGGTTGATTAAGCCCATTGAGATTTTTCAGTTTTCACGGCGAATGTGAAGTTGGTGAAAAAAAAAAACGTTCTCATAAATTAATCATTAATTTTTTCAGAAAATCGCTGATTTTGAAATTTGTGAAAATGTAATGTGACCATTATTATCTCGAATGTATTGTAAACAAAGACAACATGGGTCCCATGACTCATGAGGGGTTTATTCTTGGTTTATTGCATCCTATCGACAATGAGCCGATCCATTTTCAGGTAGTCTATGCGGACTGTGTAAAGCCTTTTCCAGTCACTATGAAAAGTTCTTGTTATTTTTTTTACATTTGAAAAGTTTACAGCTTTTGATTAACTTATTTACAAAGTTTATATTTTCCTTCCATGTGAGACTTTTGCTGCACATGAAAGATGTGAGCTTTTAAACTAAAAAATTGAAAGTTAGGACGTTTTGCGTCTTATTCTGTGTTGACTGGACTGTGTCTTGGATAGTCTTGATACGAGTGGTTCTTAGATAAGTTTATCCAGTTCAGCGGAAAATTGGTTTAGTCTATGCTGTGCCACGTTTAGATCATCGATGTTGATTTTAGATAGTTTAAGAGGTTTCAACTCTGGCAAATGAAGATTCACTGGCAGGTGTTTGCAGCAGTTATAGGTAATTTCCACTGGATGACTTTTATAGGTGACGTTTCTGTATTTTTCAGCTAGATGCCTAGCATGAATTCTGGAGTTTCCTACAAAGGCATTGTATGTTGGTTGAAGCTTGAGCACTGTGTTGGTGTTGATTGTTTTTGTCACACTGTTTTTGCCATCACATCTGATAATGATTGGAAGGGATGATGATTGATGATAATGTTATGAGTCAGTAGTTTGTGTCTTGTTCTTGCACATTTTAGTCACCAGCAAATAAGATTGAGTATATTAAGACATTGAAAGCTTGCACGCTTTGTGTGTTGTTCTGTGTGTTGAAAGCTTCTACGCTTTGCATGAATTATGGAAACGTTGAAAGCTCGGACGCTTTACGTGTAGTTCTATGTTGAAAGCTTGTACGCTTTACATGAAGTATGGAAACGTTGAAAGCTTGCATGCTTTGCGTATTGTTATGTTTGTGTTGAAAGCCTATACGCTTTGCGTGAAGTACGAAACTTTCAATGGTTTCGTACTGGATGATGTGTGTTGTATGATAATTTGCGTTCTACGATGATATATACTCTGATTTCTACGATGATATATTTTGAGTTCTACGATGATATATACTCTGAATTCTACGATGATATACTTTGAGTTCTACGACGCTATATACTCTGAGTTCTGCGATGATATACTTTGAGTTCTACGATGATATATACTCTGATTTCTACGATGATATACGTTGAGTTCTACGATGATATATACTCTGATTTCTACGATGATATACCTTGAGTTCTACGATGATATATACTCTGATTTCTACGATGATATACTTTGAGTTCTACGATGATATATACTCTGATTTCTACGATGATATATTTTGAGTTCTACGATGATATATACTCTGAATTCTACGATGATATAGGTACTTTGAGTTCTACGATGATATATACTCTGAAGTCTGTGATGATATACTTTGAGTTCTACGATGATACATACTCTGATTTCTACGATGATATACCTTGAGTTCTACGATGATATATACTCTGATTTCTACGATGATATACCTTGAGTTCTACGATGATATATACTCTGATTTGTACGATGATATACTTTGAGTTCTACGATGATATATACTCTGATTTCTACGATGATATACCTTGAGTTCTACGATGATATATACTCTGACTTCTACGATGATATACTTTGAGTTCTACGATGATATATACTCTGATTTCTACGATGATATACCTTGAGTTCTACGATGATATATACTCTGATTTCTACTATGATATACTTTGATTTCCACGATGATTTAATTTTCAGCTGGACGAAGTTTTCGTGACGTCACGAGAGCGTCGTCCACACTTTAAAGCGGTATATCTCAGCGATGGTTTATCGTAGAATAACGAGGTTTGAACAGTTATTCTTAGATTTTTTTACACTAAAACTTTAATTTTTGGCGCACACCCCCTTTAATGACAAAACAAAACCGGAGCTGCTGCCTTTTTTTTATTGTTTCAGATTTTGGCAGTTCTCCTGTTAATTCGAGAGCGAATTATGTGTCAGGTTGGCCGTGCGAGAATCTGATGCCCCAAAAATAGAGACGTGACAGCGACGCAAAAAGGATTTGTTCAAAACCATAGTTGATCCCTTGGTTTTATTATTTGGGTTGTATGATTCACTGTTTATGACCCGACCCATTGTTACTTCGGTAACATTGAAAGGGCTCTTCAAAAAACAGTTAGGTTTTAGGCTAGGTAGTTTTAGCGATTTTCGACAGGGACTTGCATTTTGTATAGCTTGTTGGACGCATCGCCGCCCTGATATTTTTGTGAATTTGAAATAAACTATTTTTATTGCCGAAAGTCTAGCGTTTTCTTACATGTATGTATTGCAAGCGGTGGCCTTTTGATCTTGCTTAAAAAAATTATGTCTTACGAAATCTTACAAACTTCAACCTGGTGGCTTATTCTTAAAATTTCGTTTGAAAATAGATGTTTTTTACTGGCATTTGTTTACTTAAGACCTAGTTTAGATCTTAATACTTTGTTAGAATTATTGCAGTTGGCTTTTGACGATGCGAGGGATGCTAGCCCGGACGTGGCTTTTTACATCTGTGGCGATTTTAATAGCCGAATTGGCAGTAGTAATACGCTGGATGAGGAAGCTTTGATGGGCTCGCGTCTCTTGCATCCCCGTACATCACTTTCGCATATACCCACAGTGTTTCGCAAAAGCTGGTCATTGTCTAACTCCCTTTATCCGAATGGAATACTCTATACATATATATTATTGAATATTCGGATTCTGTGTAAAATTCTGAGCAGATTTCATGTAATATACCCTATCATCTGTTTTGAGTGTTTTGGAAATATTGACATTAGTTGAAAATTAACTTTTTTCTATGAGTATTGAATAATATGCGTAATATACATCCATTTTCTATCAGGGGCGCCCGCAGAAAAATATGTAGGGGGGGTCAAAATCAATTGAATAAATTTTTTATGCGTAAAAAAGGGCACTTCAGTCTAAATAATCATAATAAATAAATATTTATATAAAAAAACTTAAAACATTCTTTCTATCTAAAAAATCACCATTTCGGAGATACTTAGGTATGGTGACAATTGGAAAAGTAGTAATCGGCAATATCTCTTAGACAAAAAATACTATCAGGAAGATCTCAAATACGTATTGGGGAATTGGAGGGGGATCCAAAATGGGGCACTTTTCAAGCCTCACCCCTTAGGGCCAGGAGGTAGCTACCCTAACTTATTTTTTTTTAAATACAAACCTGCCTTGTGTTGCACATCGTTCGATAGCTCCTTGCTTTCCCTTTACCGTCTTATAGCAAAATCTTAAATCGTACGAACATTTTTGAAAAATACACCATTTTCAACAGTATTTTAGGAAGCTTCCATTGTATTCTAGAATAGTCATTTGTATTTAAGAAATTTATTCCATTATACATAAGGGATTTCTTAAAAACAAATGAGAAAATGACTATACTAAAATACAATTGAAGCTTTCTAAAATACTGTTGGACATGGTGAAGTAAATTTGACTATCAGTAAACAAAAAAAATCTGCCATAAAAGTCTCCGACACACATCGACCAAATAATGTGTTTATTGTAATTCTATCTGCTTCTGCATGCCTCCAAAGAGGAATAAAACACCTTTCAAAGGAGATATCACATGAGGTAGTTTCTCATTCTACACCACAAAGTAAATTCAAATTCGGAAAAAATACATTCAATTACGGAGAAAATAATGTTATTTTTCATAGAATTGGTATTTTGAATTGATTGAGTTCTTTATCTATTCAGAAAATCAAAAAATTTGTCCATATTTCTCAAAGAGACCCGATTTTTAAACCATAAGAGAAAGAAAAATTTACCAAGTCTACGAAATAGAAGAATCAGATATTGAATTAATAGATCCAAATAAAGGAATATTTATAAAGGAAAAAGAACATTCGAGTGACATCAATTTATCAAGACAAGATGTTATTAGGAAGTTTCAATGTTACACTTGCAATGCTACATTTAAAACCAAATCAAATTTGAAACATTATTCAATAACACATTTGAATATTTGTCCTTTCGAATGTAACACTTACAAAGCGGAAAAAAATGAGTTACAGCGACATATATCAACACTCTTGGATATTTTCCTTTTAAATGTGATACTGGTAAGAAAAAATTTAAAGGAAAAGGTGATTTGAACGCACACATATTAACACACTCGGACGAGAAGAATTTTAAATGCAACATTTGCAAAGCAGAATTTAAAAGAAAAGGCAGTTTGAAGAGACACAAACTAACACACTTGGATGAGAAGAATTTTAAATGCAACATATGCAATGCAAAATTTAAAGAAAAATGTAAATTAGCAAAATTGAAACAAAAAGGTAAATTGAAAAGTCACATATCAACAGACTTCGATAGTTATCTTTTTGAATGTGACATTTGCAAAGCAAAATTCAAAGGAAAAGATTGTTTGAAGAGACACAAACTAACACATTATGATATTTATCTTTTTAAATGTGACACATGCAATGCAAAATTTGAACACAAACGTAGTTTGAAAAGCCACATATTAACACACTCGGATGAGAAAAATTTTGAATGTAACATTTGCAATGGAAAATTTAAAAGAGAAGGCGATTTGAAGGAACACATATTGATACACTTTAGATATTTAATTTTTTTTGAATGGGACATTTGCAAATCAAAATTTAAACGGAAACGCGGTTTGAAGATACACAAACTAACACAGTCGGGTATTTATCCATTTGAATGTGACACTTGCAATGCAAAATTTAAGCAAAAACATAATTTGAAAAGCCACATATTAACACAGATTGGTTAGTATTTAATTCGCTTAATAGTGACATGTGTTTCGCTCCGGGATCCTTGAAATCGGCCACAAAATTCACCTGTTCCGGAATAATGAAAAGGGTGACAATTTTACGATAGTTAGACTCGGCCCAATCGGTTATCGGGTAGGTGGATATTTTATGACCCATCGGCCAACAATATCAATATGCAAATCGGTACACTGAGATATAGATATTAAATCAACTTATTTACTTCTTATAAATAGCTAAAATCTCAGGCATGGTGGAGGAAGATCCAAAACTTAGGCTTAAGCATTGAATATAAAAAAAAATTAATCAGAAATCGGTAAATCGTTACATAATTGTTTCGGAATGATGTTTTTGGAGAATCAAGAAGTTAGCGATTTCTTTGTTTTTGAGTTGTTAGCTATTCAGCAGAATCACGAAGTTCTAGTTAAATTTTCAGATTATCTCATCGACACATGGCACATGCCTCGGTAGACCTGGATAAGACAACAAATGCCTGTGAATCTTTCTATAGTCATTTTGGTAGATCTTTTTATTTGCGCATCAAAATAGATATTTACACTTTTTTACATTTATTAACTCATATGCAATGCGAAATCTGTCAACATCATAAGGTAAGTTTTATGGGAAGTAGGTTGGGTTTCATGATTTGGTCGAATTCAAAGGTAGGATTATTGCAGCTACCTGGTTTGTGGCCGAATTCAAGTATGCCCGTTTCGCTCATACGAGCATCATCGGACCTACAAAATAATATACAGGGTGACATTTTAAAAAGTTACAATGGCTACATCTCAGGAACCAAAAAAAATATAAAAAATCGCTGAAAACAATTTCTATAGTAGAGAGGGGGAAACAAAATTATGTAATAACTAACTTATCTTCACTCACCCCCAGCTACCCAAAATTAGTAATCTTAATTGACACCCCCTACTTGTGATACCTTATCTGAAAGCTTTTAAAAAATGCTTTTCAATGGTACCCTACAAGCTAAGATTCGATGTAATTAGGTCTGTTTCTGCAGAAATCAAAAACTAGTCAGAGTGAATATCATTGGTTGAAACTAGTTTCCTGACTGTTTCTGACTATTTTCAGCCAATGAAATTCGCTCTGACTGGTTTGTGATTTTTGCAGAAACAGACCTATTATTTTCAATAATTTTCAAAATAAAACCATTGAAATGAATTTTTGACTATTAATTTAATAAACATTTGAAAACATTGTTTTACTATCGTAGCATTAATCTTGAGGCTTGAACATTTTAGGCTTGTATTATTTTTTGTTTATTCGTTGTTTTGGGAACCTGAAAAAAAAAAGTCTAAAAAAATACAATTTTAATTCAAATGAATGAAGTTTTATCTACCCAATAAACCCAAAACAATCATATCGAATCCTAGCCTGTAGGCTACCATTGAAAAGCATTTTTTTGAGAGTTTTCAGATAAGGTATCACAAGTAGGGGGTTGCTATTTGAGAATATTTAGTTGGGGTGGCTGGGGGTGAGTGAAAACAAGTTAGTTATTACATAATTTTGTTTCCCCCTCCCTACTATAGAAATTGTTTTCAGTGATTTTTTATATTTTTTTTTAGATTCCTGAGATAAAACCATTGTAAGTTTTCAAAATGTCACCCTGTATGTAGAAAAATTATTACGGGCGGCTAGCCCCCCAGATAAACGGGGTGGGGGTTTGGCAATAAACATATTTGGTTTCCTCTGTGTATTTGAGACTTTTATGACAGAATTTTTTTTAGTAAAAAATAGTCAAAATTAATAGTTTTCAAAAGTGCTTACATTTAAACATTGATATCTCAAAAACTAATCAACGAGGTATCCAACGATGTGCAGCACAAGGTAAGTTAGTATTTAAAAAAAAAGTAATAAGTTATGGGAGCTACCCCCTAAGGGGTGAGGCGGGATGCCTCATTTTAGTTCCTCGTCCAATCCCTCAATTCCCCCGATACGTATTTGAGATCTTTATAGTATTTTTTGTCTTAAGAGATATTCCCGATTACTATTTTTCAAATTGTCACTTTATATGTACCATCGTCACCAAAAGTATCTGGGACACAAATAATGCATAATAATCTCCTGGACTAATTCTCATTCTCATTCATTTCAATGCATTTAATTCATAGTTTGACAAATATTTGACGATAAAATTCATCTAATAGGACAAGAGCTAATGTGATGCTGTCCCAGTTACTTTTGGTGACGATGGTACGTATATAGTGCGGTGGCATTGGTGGTTGCGTACCGTTTTCCTATTCCGATATACATTCACGTTTTCTATTTTAATAAAAATAAAGTCGCAAAATCGGTCCACGATCATAGTTCATTTAATATCAGAGGTTGCAATATTTTTTATTCTAGGAAAATAATTAAAATTTAAGAAATTTTCAAGGGGGGTCGAGTGACCCCCCCTGACCCTCCCTGTGGGCGCCCTTGTTTTCTATTGATCAATGTGAATGATTACTCATACAGTGAGTTTTTTTTTTATTGCCTAATTATTTTCAACCAATCCAATGAAAATATCCTGGTCTCAGTACTCCACTATTTAAGAGCCAATCAGAAAATTCGACAAGTTGACAACATACTTCAACCTTCCAATCGGTCATTTTGACAGCTGATTTGGACAAGACTTGTGCTAACCTAACCTCACTTTGTCCTCCAGCTGTCAGAATTGTCAATTAATTTTGTTACGAAAATTAAATAAAAAATCGCATAACTCGTGCCTATTTTCTATCAATCATAGAAAAAGCATAGTATTCAACTCGTAGGTAATGGCGGATGATTACACTACTCGCCTGCGGCTCGTGGTGCAAACTTCATCCTTCGTGAGTAATAGCCATCATTACCGGCTCGTTGAATAATATACTATTTTTGCAACTTTAATAGGCTGTAAAACCTAGATATTTAATTTAAGAGCAAAACCGTAAACCGTTAGATTCATAAACCATCATCTAACACCAACTTTAAATTTAACCGAAGATTAAATTTAGAAAGAATTTTGAATCATGTAAGGCCGATACTTTCGATCTTGATAACGAATTTGACACGTAATTGAATTTACCAAGGTTTTGCATGGGACAAGGTCTGTAATCTGTATGATGTGGTAAGAGAACATTTAAACCCCTGATTATTTTCAACGTCTGTCAAATTCGAAAACTGAGAACAAAAGTACCGGCACGTAATGTGGACAAGTTTTCAAAATCATCAATGTCACATGCGCATTTTCACCAATGCAAAACAAGGATAGGTTGTCCATCAGGAGAAATGCGCAGAAGCAATTGATGAATTTAAAAACTTACCCTGTATCTCTCTCAATCAAGCGACAAGCGTACTCAGGTCGCTGCTGATGCGCGGTTCATACTCCCCTTACGGCCCTCCTGCGATCGGAATTTTTGTGAAGCAGAGAGGTTTCACTTCAAAAATACCTGAAAAAATTAAACCCAAGGCATGTTTTTTTAACGACTTTTGAGTAAAAATTTGGGCATTCGTGACACTCAAAAAAGTTTGGGGCCCCATTTAAGGGGGCCCGTTGGAATAACTGTATCGGGGCCCGCGCGTGCTTAGCACGGCCCTGCAAATGCTGAGGGTTTAAATTGTGTTGAGAACCTGCAGGTTAACTCAGAAATTTTTTCTTCGACGCATTTCCCGGTTTGTGTCGAGTTAAATATTTTTAGAAGCAATATTAGAAATGTTCAAATTTCGCCTCCAATCGTGCAGTCGACACGCTCCCTTCAGTGGAAAGACGATCGCTTGGCTCGAAATACATATCAGCAGTATTTGCAGTTCTCACCACTAGTTATTCCTAATAATGATATTAATGGCTGTTTTTCAAATTTCTGCGCAGCCTTAAATAATGCGGCAGCGGCAGCGAATTTGATTGTGACGAGGTCCAACTCTGGTATGCCTATGCGAAAAGCTCGCCATAAACCATGGTACGACTATCAATGTTTAGATAGGAAAAAACTAGTACGTCAAAGTTTGAAAGAAGCAAAACTAAACAACTTTAGCCAGCTGTTTAGGGCAATTTATTTCGAGCACAAGGCGGAGTACAAACGGGGCTCTTATCATGTAAGAAGCGCAACTTCAACAAGTTATTGTCCGAAACTTTTAGGAATACGCGCGACTCAAGGTCTTTTTGGGAAAATATAAAAAAATTAAAGGGTTTATCGGTTAGGTCTGACTTGAGCATTGAAACGTGGGAAGGTTTTTTTACCGGGGTTTATAGGGTTGCCACCTGTCCGGTTTTCACCCGGACTGTCCGGTTTTTTAAAGGTTTGTCCGGAGTCCGGACGCATGATAAGAATGTCCGGGAATCAGTGATGTGCCTGTAGACAATGTCAACGTAAACAATTGATTGTCTACGCGTAGACAATTCGAATTGTTTACGTGAGCATTTGTCTACACATTGTCTACATGCGGCATAAACAATAACTTATTTTAAAAAATTCGAAAAAAAATATCAAAAGTTACTATACTATCACTATCACTTCGATATCAGCATTCACTGATTATAAAATATCAGGAAAACCAATAATAAAATAAAAAAAAATTAAAAAAAGGAAAGTGTGAGGTTAGAATTAAACGTCATTTATATTATTTTACATTGTTGACACGTTGTCTACATTGTCTACACGTAAAGTAGACAATGAAAGTCTACGTGTAGACGCACATCCCTGCCGGGAATATCTGGATAACTGTATAATTAATAATAATTAATACTTAATATAAAATAAAGGCGATTGCTGAATGCCTTAGGATATACCTAACTAATTTCTGAACGTACCTACTTCTTGAATGACGGGTGTGTCACGAACGTCTCCGATTTCCAATTAGCGATGGAAAAATGGACTTTTTCTGGCTAGGCAGAAAAGTTCGTTGCTAACCATTCAACAAACGTTATCAGCGCAATTGATAAATATAAAAAAGTGGATTATGCGTGAAATTGTGCTTGTCTGCCTAATAATAGCTGAGTCAATCTGGGGGTCAGGGTGCAACAAAT